AATTTGCATTAGAAAAAAAGTTTTGGTAGCTGGTAAGAGATCATCAACCAAAGTCTTCATCAGAATGGTACATTGCTTAACCAATCTCCCATCTGCTCCCTCTTGATAGCTTTCCCTTTCCTGCCTCTTATTGGGCCTCATTATGGGCCTCTTATTGGGCCTAAATATGGGTCTTGGGCCTCACCTTGGCTTGAGCCTCAATAAAACCGACAGCTGCATTATCATTTGAGCTCTCACGTTCACATACCTCGCTGGTTTTTTTAATTTATTATTATTTAATAATCAGACCTTATTTGCAATCAGAAATTCAAAACGTTATGGTTTTCGATTTAATTCAAAACATTGAACCGGATTGTATATGTTTTGTTTTTTTTTCTTATTTTATTTGATTTCTGTTTTGAATATCTTTTATATATTTAGAAATTGAACAGAATAAAAGACCTTATTCATTATTTTTTTTCTATTTTCCGAAATTACTAGTAATAAATAGAATAAATAAACGGTGAAAATAATATTCGATGGTTCCAATAGAAACAATGATGATTGATGACAGAGTGACGACAACGAAAGAGTTCAGTGGTATGAGTGGCATTTGTTTTTAAATGTTAGTTAGAGGATAGCTATATAATTCAGAAACAGCGACATTTGATGCCGTACGCTATCGATTTAAAGGATTATTTCTAATAATTATTATTATTGTAATAATACTAATAATGATGATGATGATGATAATAATAAGCATTTTTTTAAATAAAATAAAATAAAATGATGTTTTTATGTTGTCGCATGTGCTGAATCTTTGGCCAGTCGTCGCTCTCAAAAGTCTGAACAAAACCCTAGCGGCAGTTGGATTCGGACAAGTGTTTCTGATCAATGAATTAATTATATTTATTTTTATTACATTGTCTTTTTCTGTTTTCCTATTTTCTAAAGCATTTGGCTCAAGCCTAATTTTTTTTTTTTAAAAAAAAACAGAATCAAGACAATTTTCTTTGTCTATTTCAGCTTCCCGATAAAATTAATGAAGCAATGTTAAAACTAGAAAAAAAAATTAGTTATAAGACAGTTAATTACACAAACACGAATGAGTTGTTAATTAATTTATATAGTAAGTAATTACTAAGATTTTATTTTACAATTGGTAGTATTATATTGGAATCAATAAAAAGTTATATGTTTGTAATTGTATTCTTTCAACATTGAGGAAGATATTTACCCAAAAAATAATGAGAAAATACAACAAATTAAAATTGGTGTGTTGTGGTTATTTAGGGGTGGGTCTTTAGATACCGTTAATCTAAAAGTATGATATTTTTTTAATCAAATCATCCAAAATTTTCGAACAATAAATTTTTTACAAAATCTTTTTTTCGAAATAGAACCAAACTAAATTTTTTAAAAAATCTAATAAACAATTTTTTTTTAAAAAAGATCTAATTCTTTTTAATAAAAACTGATACTGAACCAGGTCGAAATCGAAACCGAACCGAACTGAATATAATGTAATAACCGATTGGTATATATTTTGTAAAATTAAAATAACCGAAATGAATCAAACTATTTCCAATCCGAATATCGAAAGGTTCACCCCTAATTATACATATGTTGGTCGGTCCAAAATGCAAAATAAATAGGAAAAAGCAAAAGGAGAATGAATATTAAGGTGGGGAAAAGGTGGTAGAGACAAGACTAAAGTTTTGTGCCCGAAATTCAGTGACCCTTTGGGTCTATAAAACCATAGAAGTGTAATAATAACATGCAACGTCAAAGTCTAATAATTATGACATTTTTTTGTGTGTATTTTAAAATAAAAAGTAATGTATAGTCATAGTTCTCCCTACAATGATTAAAGGTATGATACTTATAAAAAAAACTATTGGATGTTATTACATATTTCAATTTAAATTATTTTTAAAAAATTAAAATGAATCAATACGGTTTTCTATTTTTTTCACATATAAAATATAACTGCTTTTGCCAGAAATTTAATAAACAATACAACATTTATTTTAATTAAAAAAAGTATTACAACGACCATGTAGTTATCTATTTTTTAAGAATCAATCAATTCATTATTATCTGATTATATATTCTATAAGAAAAATATAAAAAACATCCGCCTCGGCAATTGTTGAACTTGTATTCGATGCCTTGGTGAAATATCTTTTATTGGATTACCAAACCGATATTTTGTTATTAGATTACAAAAACTAATTATGAAATAGAAGTGAAATTTACATATATATATTTTTAATGAATCTAAAAATTAAAACCAAATCATTTAAAAAAAAAAAAAACATGAAATCAAGGCCGAAGGCAAAGGTGGTTTTTCATTGTGGGCTTTGCATGGGATTTTATTCTAAACGAAGACGATGGAATTAAATTGACAATCTAACGTCCAAATTCCTTTGGACGGTCCTTTTCATGTCTGAAATTATTAAGACTATAGACTTTGACATTTCGCAAAGAGTGCCACGAGAAATTTAGACTAGGGGTGGCCAATTCGGGTTTCGGTTCGGTTATATTCAGGTTCGGTTATAGAAAAACTATAACCATTCGGTTTTTATATAAATTCCGATTCGGTTATTTTTCGGTTCGGGTTCGGTTCGGTTTTGGTAAAAAGTTCAATTTTCCAAAGAAAATGTCGGTTATTCCTTCGATTTTTTTGGTTATTTTTTATTTGGTTCGGTTCGATTTCGGTTTTGGTTTTTCGGATTTAAGGAAATCATAACCGTTCAGTTTTGATGTCGGGTTCGGTTCGGGTACGGTTATATCTTATTCGATTCGGTTCGGCTCGGTTATTCAGTTAATAACCGAAATGGCCACCCCTAATTTAGACCATAACTTTTTTTTTATGTAATACTTTAATGCTCTAAAGTTTGCTAAATCTAAATCTTTATATAATTTACTTATTCATTTGCAAATAGAAATGAACATTAATATTCGATAATTTGTGGAATATCAATATGTATTGTTTATCATTTGAAATATGTGTTTATATATATTATTCGATTCAAAAGTTTACATTATACTATAAAGAATAAAAAAAATTGCAAGATATTTTTCTGGTTTTAACAACTACACTAAATACAAATTTAATTAATATTTAGAACTTTTTTTCGCAGTATAAATTAATAAATCTATTATGATCTATCTCTTTATTTATTTTTTACTTTAGATGTTTATGGTTTTAATTTTTTTATATCGTTTTTAATAATGAATATTCTTGTATCCGTAAGTTTTTATGTTTTTAGATTTTTATTAAAAAAAACTAGTCTTCAATTTTCAGTTTAATTTTTGCTTTAAACTGTTTTATATTTTGATTATTTCAGCCTATTTTGTTATATATTTATTTATTAACATTTCTTACAATATTGTTGCAAGCTCTTGAAAAAAATATATCATCTCTTTTTCTCAAATATTATATAAATTTTAAACAGCCAGAGACATCCAAAAATATAAGATCTGGTGCCACCTCACCATAGTAGGATTAAATTAAACCCTTGAAATTAAAAAAAACGACAAAAAAAGAGCAAGATGATAATTTTAGAAATACATGTGCAACTCATCCACTCCACTTTCATCAATTGGTCGCATCTTCGATTTAAAAAATATAATTAATCCCGTTTTTTTCCCTATAAAACGACAAAAATCTTCTCTGTCCAATCAAATGTCTCGTGAATTCGTCTGTTGATTGATTAACTTTATAATCTCAATTAGTGTTAATTTTTTAATTAGCGAACTTAATTTAACTCTAACAAAAAGAAGAAAAAAGGTTTGCCTCAAGAAAATATCAAAAGTAACCGTACAACACGAATCATACTTTCATCTCCAAATCATACGGACAAAAATTAATTATAGTTGAACCACTCTTAATCTCTGTCCTAATCTGCTTGCATCAATATTTGGGTCCCGCCATATATTTTTGCATTTCGTAATATCGATATTTTTTTATTTTAAATGTGATTAGTCTAAGAATATCGAGAAAATATCACACAAAGTCCTAATATTTTATTATGGATAATCTTGTCATATTAGATATTTATGCCTTGTTCATATGTCACCCTTTTTATCTGTTACCAAAGCAATCACTTTCACACATATATAATTTATATTAATTTTTTAATTTATTTTTGTATATTGATTAAAAAAATTGGATTTGGTAAAACACTCTAGATTTTTCTAACCACCAACAAAATTATATTGGGACAAGCACAAGCTATGAAATTTAAAAAAAGGTTAAATGATAAATGCATCAATTTTCCTTTTTAGGATTAATTCGTTTATTTCTTTTTCAAGCCAATAAACATGATTGATTTCCTTTCTAAATATAAAACCCTATTTTTTAATCATATTTGGAATTTCGCAGTATAGAACTTCTAGACGTATAGCCAAACCGGTTCTTTCGAACCAACCCAATTCTTAACTAGAAAATTGAAAATCAACGTGGAGAGGTTTATTTTATGTGTATATTTTATGAAATTGCTTGAATTTGTACACTTGGCTGAATAGGGATGGTTCTATTTGGTTTTCCGGTTTTTCTGTAGATCTCATAAATAAGTGGGACCGGTTTTATGGAAAACCACACGGTATTCGTGAACCGGAAATTAGGTATAATCACAAAACATATTCATGCATTAAATGAATGCATACCAAACCATTGAAGTCGGTGACATGAATTTTTCATGCATTAAAGTCAAAGTTCCATTTCTAACCATATGGTCCGTATAATACCGAACCAAAAGAGAAAATTAAGACAATGCTTACAAACGCAAGAAACCAATGACAGGGCACTACGACTATATTATATAATAAATTGTCCAAATTCATTTGATTTTTGTCACGAAACAACTTTGGATAGTAATCTAGGGGTGCAAAATAATCAGAATTTCACATTTCCATAAAATTATATAAGTGTAATCATGACACAATTTAGTTTCAACTTGTCAATTTTTATAAAATAAAATCCGAACTTTGTTTTTTTATCAAATAAAATCGTAATTTGATTATTAAATTGTAAATAAATCTAAACTTTATAAAAATTATCATTTTTAAACACATTGTTCATAGCATGATATCATAATATACCGATGGTAACATATCAAATATGGTTAAAAATGTTGATTTATTACATAAAATATCGGGTACGTCGTATCAATATTTAAATTTTAAAATATTAACGATGACAAAATTGGATTTATTTTTAGTTGAAAATTAGACAAAAAAATAAAATTTAGATGTAATTTTATAAAAGTTGAGAAATTCAGATTTTTTTGATATTTTTTCTTAATAAAATGTCATAAAAATATAAATAATTATTCAATTTTACTTACAAAACTGAAAAAACCATAACTAAATAAAATAAGGAATGATTAAAAAAACCATAACTCCCATAGTTTTGAGTAGGGTTGGACGTTTCGGTTCGGTTCTTCGGAACCGGACCGAATCGAACCGTTAAAACGGTATTTTTTCTAACCCGAAACCGCTGTTATTTTCTGAACGGTACCATTTTTAGAGAACCGAATTTTTTCGAAACCGAATCGAACCGAACCGAATTTTAAAAATCCCGAAAAACCGAATATTTTTAAAGAAAATCTAACATTTTTTTTAATAAAACCCAGAACCGAACCGAACCGAATACAATAAAAAATCCGATTGGTATCTATTTTTGTAAAACCAAAAAAACCGAACCGATCTATTCCGTTCCGAACACGAACCGTTTTTCGAAATGTCCTCTTTTTTCAAGAGAATGATAAAATAAGAAAATTTAGGCGTGTGAGAGAGTGTTGAACAAGTAAAAATAAGCAACAAGAAATAAATAAAAGGCGAAATTATTTTCCATAATAACAGTTTAATTAAAGAAACTCGTCAATAAAAATCATTTCAGGAAAATAAATCACTGAATGCATGCATCTGATCTGAGTGCTTTGACCCGTTTTTTCTGTTTGGTCACCACCTCCTCTCCGCTCTCCGCCATGGCGGCGCATCTAATGTTCCTCAGATCGGTTCTTGTTTCTCCCGGAAGACGTTCTTCCTCACCCTGAATCATCTGACAGTAGAATTTCTCAGATTGGAAACTTGCAGGTTGTGTTTTTTTTTTTGTCTTTTTATGTAAGAAAGGTTTTTGTTCAAACAGTCCTGGTTTTGTTTCTTTCTTCCTGAAAGCTATTCGCCCAGAACGAGAGGCATCGCCATTGATGAGCGAAATCCCATTTTCTCGGGAAACAAACAGACAATTTCTCTCTCTCTCGTTTACCGTCCTCTTTACGACCCTGTTACGGGAAATTTCAATGTTCTCTGTCCCCGTCAATGTTATTTTCCGAGAAAATTCTGACCTGTTCTAATCTCGACATCTTGTCACTGTTTCTTTCTTCTCCGTCTTCTCTTCTCCGTGTTTTGTCCGCACGTAGAGAAACCGATTTTTTTTTTTTTAATAAAAAAAATTATGATTGAAAAAGTCAGGATGTGTGTGAGATCTCACTCGAAGTCTTCGAATGCTGAAAGCTGTTATTCCCTTTTTCTGGTTCATTGATTAAAGATTCCAGCTTTGTTGAGACAATAAACAAACAGAAACTTTCGGAATATACCCATTTCTGATCCCATAACTCTCAGTTTTCCGGGAAAGTTTTCAGTTTCCTGGGAAAATTTTCAAGCTTCCTTGCGCTCTGTTACCGGAATCGCGAACTACGAGGTCCGGCATATTCGGTCTCAGTCTCTCTGTCTGAAGCCATCTCTGCTTTTGTTCTGTGAGCTTTTTTCCTCGGAGGTTCTGCCAAACATGGTATTGTCTTTTCCCCTTTCCCTTTTTCCAAAAATCGTTTCCCTTTTTATTTTTTTTAATAATTTCTGTTTTCTGGGCATCACTGTTTAAAAATTTTCTCGCGGTTCATGGAAATCCGTTGCCACCACTTTTTTTTTTCTTCTTCTTCCCCTGATATAAAATTTTCAAAATCCCATCAGTGGGTGTTTGTTATTCTTTCAAGAAGCAACAAGAATTTGGCATTTCTTGCTCGTTTTGCGAGTCTGGAACTCAAAAATCTAAGTTTTTTTAATTTCAGGGTTCTTAGATTTCCTCAAAGTCTGCAATTTTTTTTCCCAGTAAAGATTCGAGCTTTGCTTCAGGGCTTGCCTGACGAGAGCGAAAGATCAAGCCTTTGCTTCTGGGTATTTTAGATTCGGATCTTTCCGGGTGTAAAGATTCGTGGAAAGTGACAAGGAAAATGTCGAATGGAAGGAGCAGAAGGAGGAGGAGGAGACTACTCCTAAGCAAGATTTACACGCTGAACTGTGGAACCGCATGTTTCAGGCAAGACCATTCTCAGGTCGGAGGACCAGGTTTCTCTCGGGTTGTCTTCTGCAACGAACCCAATCGTGAAGAATCAGCTGGAACAAGGGACGATTACTGCGATAACTACGTGAGGACCACCAAGTACACTCTGGCCACGTTCTTGCCAAAATCTTTGTTCGAACAGTTCAGAAGAGTTGCAAATTTCTACTTCCTCGTAACTGGTGTCTTGTCCTTCACTGATCTTGCACCTTACACTGCCGTCAGCGCCATTGTTCCTCTCATCTTCGTCATCGGTGCCACCATGGTTAAAGAGGGTGTCGAAGATTGGCGCCGGAAACAGCAGGTAACTGGCCTTTTTTTTGTTGTGCTCGTCTTTAGGGTTTTCTTTCCAGTGTCTGGCCTCTTCTGATTGCAAAAATGGAAAGTGATTAGATTTTTGGTTCAGAGTTGATTTGAATCAGATAGTTTTCTTACTTTCTGAGATTCTGGATTAGATTAGATAACCTCATGAGTCATTTCTGCTTTTAGGACGTTGAAGTGAACAATAGGAAAGTTAAAGTGCATAGAGGAGATGGGAGTTTTGTTCATAGAGAGTGGAAGACGCTGAGAGTTGGAGACATAGTGAAGGTAGAGAAAGACGAGTTTTTCCCGGCGGATCTTTTCCTGCTTTCATCGAGCTATGGAGATGCTATTTGCTACGTGGAGACGATGAATCTTGACGGGGAAACAAATCTGAAACTTAAACAAGGACTGGGAGTCACTTCTTCTTTGCATGAAGACGAGAATTTCAACGGTTTCAAGGCTTTTGTCAAATGCGAGGATCCGAATGCTAATTTGTATTCCTTTATTGGAACCATGGAGCTTGACGGGGAAAGGTACCCTCTTTCGCCTCAACAGCTTCTCCTGAGAGACTCGAAACTCAGAAACACAGACTATATCTATGGAGCCGTTATCTTCACGGGTCATGACACAAAGGTTATCCAGAATTCAACCGACCCTCCATCAAAGAGAAGTAACATCGAGAGGAAGATGGATAAGATCATATACTTGATGTTCGGTATTGTGGTTTCAGTAGCGTTTATTGGTTCGGTTACCTTTGGATTATCAACAAGAGATGATTTAGAGAATGATGTGATGAAAAGATGGTACCTTAGACCGGATAGTTCCAGGATCTTCTTCGACCCGAAAAGGGCACCAGAGGCTGCAATGTATCACTTTCTGACAGCGGTTATGTTATACAGTTACTTCATCCCAATTTCTTTATATGTCTCAATAGAGATTGTGAAAGTTCTTCAGAGCATCTTCATCAATCAGGATATCCATATGTATTACGAGGAAGCTGACAAGCCAGCGCGTGCACGGACTTCTAACCTGAATGAAGAACTTGGGCAAGTAGATACAATTCTTTCAGACAAGACTGGAACTTTGACGTGTAACTCCATGGAGTTCATCAAGTGTTCTATCGCTGGGACAGCCTATGGCCGTGGTGTTACAGAGGTGGAGATGGCTATGGGTAGAAGAAAAGGTTCTTTAATGTATCAGAACAATGAAAACGATATGGAATACAGCAAGGATGTCACCTCGGCTGCACAGAAAGTGAAAGGATTCAACTTTAAAGATGAAAGGATAACGAACGGGAACTGGGTCACCGAGGCACGTGCTGATGTTATTCAGAAGTTTTTCCGGTTATTAGCTGTTTGCCACACAGTTATACCGGAAGTGGAAGAAGATACAGGAAAGATCTCTTACGAGGCTGAGTCACCAGATGAGGCAGCATTTGTTATTGCAGCAAGGGAGCTCGGGTTTGAATTTTACAACAGAACCCAAACAAGCATATCTGTAAGAGAGCTAGACTTGGGGACTGGCAAACGAGTTGAAAGGTTGGCCCATCTGCAAAATTTTCTCTTATTTCATCCCCACTGAAAACTGCTCTTTATTTCATACTCTATGTTTTTGCAGGGTGTATAAAGTCTTGAATGTCCTTGAATTCAACAGCTCGAGGAAAAGGATGTCGGTAATAGTACAGGATGAAGACGGGAAACTGTTATTACTTTGTAAAGGGGCAGACAGGTATCCACCTTTGATTTGAGAAACTCGGATATCAATCTCACTTGGAACTCGATTTCGATTTGTTCTAAAAAAGACTCTACCTGTCAGTGTCATGTTTGAAAGACTTGCCAAGAATGGTAGAGAGTTTGAAGAGGAGACCAGGGACCATGTCAATGAGTATGCTGATGCCGGGCTGAGAACTTTGATACTTGCCTTTCGTGAACTAAACGAGAAAGAATACAATGTGTTTAACGAGAGATTAACCGAAGCAAAGAATTCGGTTAGTGCTGATCGAGAAGCGTTGATAGATGAAGTTACAGAAGAAATTGAGAAAGATCTGATTCTTCTTGGAGCTACTGCTGTTGAGGATAAACTCCAAAATGGGGTAATCTGCTAATATATATATCGATTTATAGTGTTGAATGGTCTTCGAGTAGATCAAGGAAGAACTTAAAAAGTGTTTTTCCTTCTTCCCTTTGTCTTTTCCATTAGGTCCCTGATTGCATTGACAAACTTGCCCAAGCAGGAATCAAGATTTGGGTTTTGACGGGAGACAAGATGGAGACTGCTATCAATATTGGGTATCGATTTCTGGGTATCACCTTATTATATTTGGTTTTCTGAAGGCTGTGCATACGTTCTTCGCGGTTCTTTCCCAGTCCCTAAACCCGCAAGTGTCTGTACATCTTTGACAGCTTTGCTTGTAGTTTACTCAGACAAGACATGAAACAGATCATTATCAACTTGGAAACACCAGAAATGCTGTCATTGGAGAAAGCCAGAGAAAAGGATGACCTTGAGAAGGTACAATAATTCTGTATTCGGGTATTTTGGGGGAGTCATACGTGTAGAGATACATAGTAATACATGCTATATATATATATATGTATGTATGTATGTATGCAGGCCTCAAAGGAAAATGTCCAGCGGCAGATAACTTCTGGGAAAGCTCAGATAAAAGCATCTCGAGGAACATCTGATGCTTTCGCTCTAATCATCGACGGGAAATCCCTTGCTTATGCATTGGAGGATGATACGAAGAACTTCTTCCTAGAACTGGCAATTGGCTGTGCTTCTGTTATTTGCTGCCGGTCATCACCCAAACAGAAGGCACTGGTCAGTTTTTTTCTTCTATTCCATTAAACTGCATTACTAGTTCTTTTATCTCACGAATTTATATTTGCATATAGGTGACAAGATTAGTGAAATCGAGTACCGGTAAAACAACACTTGCAATTGGTGATGGAGCAAATGATGTTGGAATGCTTCAGGAAGCAGATATCGGGGTTGGAATTAGCGGTGTGGAAGGAATGCAGGTTCTATGAGATATTTATCTTACAGTTCTATCTGGATTTTACTTGTACATTGTGTGTTTCTTTCTCTAACATGATCATGTTTCAGGCTGTAATGTCCAGTGACATTGCAATTGCTCAGTTCAGATATCTAGAGCGTCTGTTACTTGTTCATGGACACTGGTGTTACAGGCGTATCTCATCAATGGTGAAACATCATCATCATCCTCTATCTTTTCAGATCTGTCACTGACATTTCATGCCATTAGTTAGTTCTCAATCTTTTGCTTGTTTTCTATTACACAGATATGCTACTTCTTCTACAAGAACATTACCTTCGGTTTCACTCTCTTTTTATATGAGGCATATGCATCGTTCTCAGCAACACCTGCTTACAACGATTGGTTTCTGTCTCTTTATAACGTCTTCTTTTCGTCTCTACCCGTCATTGCTATGGGGGTCTTCGACCAGGATGTATCTGCTCGGTTTTGTCTCAAGGTATTTCCTCGTGGTAATAAAACTGCAGCTTTTGGTCTTGGTACTGGTGAAGGAAAAACCCTTACAGAACACACTTCATGTGGATTCTTCTGCCATTGTTTTTGTCACAGTTCCCGCTTTTGTACCAAGAAGGCATTCAGAATGTGCTCTTTAGCTGGGGCCGGATACTCGGCTGGATGCTTAATGGTTTCTGCAGCGCAATTATCGTATTCTTCCTCTGCAAGAACTCTCTCGAGTACCAAGCCTTCAACCACCAGGGGAAAATTTCCGGGCGGGAAATTCTCGGGGGGACGATGTACACTTGCGTTGTCTGTGTCGTGAACTTGCAGATGGCATTGGCTATCAATTACTTCACTCTGATCCAGCATTTTGTCATCTGGGGATCCATTGCTGTCTGGTTCTTCTTCCTCATGGCTTATGGAGCTCTTCCCCTGCAGCGCAATTATCGTATTCTTCCTCTGCAAGAACTCTCTCGAGTACCAAGCCTTCAACCACCAGGGGAAAATTTCCGGGCGGGAAATTCTCGGGGGGACGATGTACACTTGCGTTGTCTGTGTCGTGAACTTGCAGATGGCATTGGCTATCAATTACTTCACTCTGATCCAGCATTTTGTCATCTGGGGATCCATTGCTGTCTGGTTCTTCTTCCTCATGGCTTATGGGTCTCTTCCGACAAGAATATCCACCGATGCTTATAATGTCTTTCTTGAAGCTCTTGCCCCTTCACCTTCTTACTGGATCATCACTCTCCTTGTGGTGGTATCGGCTTTGGTGCCATATTTTGTGTATTCTGCCATTCAGATGAGGTTTTTCCCGATGTACCACGGGATGATACAGTGGTTGAGGTACGAGGGTCAGTGTAACGACCCAGAGTACTGTGATATGGTGAGGCAGAGATCGATAAGGCCTACAACCGTCGGTTTCACTGCAAGATTAGAAGCCCGGAAGAGATGTAGGCGGAGATCCGAGCCTGAACCATGAGAACAAGTGAACAGAGATGGATGGATTATCTACTCCATGATTTTGTGCTTCAGTGACTTGCAGGCTGTAAATAGAAGCATTGAGACACAAGCAAGAAATTTTCTTGCAGAAGGAAAAAGCCATGGTCATAGCATCGCTGACTGCAAGGACAGTGCTTGTAAGAGGTTGTACCATATGGTGTAAATTACGATTCTTGCTGGATAAAAGAAACGAGTTGCAGAGTTTCTGGGTGGAGAGAACATCTGATTTTATTAGCAAAACCGCTTTAGGGTAATGGCGGAAGATTGTAAATCAGATACAATACAGTAGAGAAAGAAAATTTTCTCTTTCTTTTGTTGTTTTTCTCAGAGATTACAATCAAAGTGGTTTCTTGTGCTCTGATACTTCAAATAAAGAAAAACCCTTCAATCTGTGTTCCTTATGGTTCTTGATTCTATGACAGAGCTCGTGGGATGTGCAGGAGCGGGAAGTGGTCTCTGTTTTTGTTATTTCACACCGTAAGACACTGAAACTGTTAGTGTCTGGAAAAGATCTCTGTCCCCAGAAGCTTCCAAACACAAACTCTCCATTCATGGAGAGTTCCTGCAACATTTGTTCAATCTCTTCCATGCATCTGAATCTTGGGTTTTCATCTGAAGTGAACCCATCGTTGAGAAATTCATCTTCCTTGTACTTCTCAATTGCAGGTCCAAAGATCTTTTCGTCTCTTCTCTTCCCCTTCCGTAATCTCTTCCTCACGTACATCTTCATCTTCCGGGCTAGTTTACGAGGAATCTTGAGGAAGATGAAGATGATAACTTGTAAGACAAGGCATTCGCAGCAGCAGGACAGAACAATACAATCTGCTGCAAAAGCGCCACAATCTTCTTCCATTACTCTGTCTGCAGAAAACTGCAGAGACAGAAGAAGAAGAAGAAGAAGAAGAAGAAGAAGAAGAAGAAGAAGAAGAAGAAGAAGAAGAAGAAGAAGAAGAAGAAGAAGAAGAAGAAGAAGAAGAAGAAGAAGAAGAAGAAGAAGAAGAAGAAGAAGAAGAAGAAGAAGAAGAAGAAGAAGAAGAAGAAGAAGAAGAAGGAGAAGGTAAGAGGTGACATGGGATTGTGTCAAAGGAATAGGTTCCTTGCCGAAATTGGGATTGACAATGTAAGAAGGCAAGCAAAACCCATGTGTTGGCAAATCCTGATGACTCCAGCTTCTGCTTTGCCAATGTTTTTTTTTTAAAATAAAAAGATCACATGGGTATTTTTATTCACTTTTGCAAGTTTGATTTTTGGAATCTTGGACGTCAAGTGAATTCAGAACCCATTTTAAACTTAATTTCCTTTGATTTCACTCTTCAATCTCTCTGCTTTTTATGGGTGCAGATGAAAGTGAAAGATCTGATTGATTTTAGCATAAACATAACTGAGAGAGGACAAGATAGAGGAGTTACATCAAAAAGCATGTGCAGATTGAAACTTTTGGAAAGAATAGTGCCAATAGTATGTACTTTCATATTAACACATGAAATCCCCGACATAATATCTTATCCATTGCCTCTCTCTGTTTTTCTATCTTGTTCCATCACATGTTCCCCCTGTAACTGTAGCCCCCCCTGTTTCTGCAACAGCTTCTTGCTCTACCACCATTTGTTCACCTTATATACAAAAGAAAGAAGAAAAAAATGGAGAATCTGGATTGCAGATTCGTATCTTCACCAATGCCCATAAGAAGGAAAAAAGAAAGAAGAAGGAGAATTCTGTTTGAGGTCTTGCGCCTGGTGGACGCGGAGAAGAACACACTGCATAACTACAGTATGAAAAAAAAATCGGAATAGAGAGTTCAGACAAAACTGTGTTATGTAAAAGGACAGATCTTTAACAATCTGTTCTCTGTAGATGTCTTGTATTTACACGAGTTCGTCTCTGCTGTTATAAGTAGTGGTATTCGTGAAGAAATCTGTACTGTAATTCTGGCTGCCGAATGCCATCCTTCGAAACAATCTGATCTCTGCAGACTGCTGAGCCGAGTTGAAAATCTCGCTTTCGCCTACTTTCATCCCGTTGCTGAGATCTTCTGCAGCTAGACTGTCGAAAGCTCTCACTATCTGCCATTTTCAAAGCCCTTGTCATGAGAAAATTATGTACGGGATTCATTGAGAAAACGTAAAAGATTTGGTTTTCAGTGGAAAATCTCGGTACTTGGCCCATTCGAGGTCTCTTGGTAGCTGAATGACGCACACAGGCAGCTGCTGCTTCAATCATTCTGAACATTTCAGATTCGACAAAGTTCCCTCTGAGCTTGGAATCAGCTAAAGCATCAAACTTTTCGGTTTCAAGAGCATGGCTCATCAAAGGTCGGGCCTGAAAAACATTAACGAAAGGTCGAACCTTGTGAGGGTTTCATCAAAAAGCTCAGAAATTTTTGTCGACAAAGTTGTACATATATTGTGCATATACCCATTCAACAAGACTCTCATCTCCCAGAGGTTGGGATGCATCCACGGGTTTACGTCCAGTGATTAACTCCAAAAGCACGACCCCGAAGGAGAACACATCTGATTTCTCAGTTAACTTTCCACTTGATGCATATTCAGGAGCCATGTAACTGAAAACAAAACGTAACTAACGTTTTACCAGATGCAAGAAATTGTAAATTTGTAAGCATCTGAAAAAGAAACCGATCAAACGAGTAAAGGGCCTACCCGAATGTTCCAATAACACGGGTTGTGACATGTGTATTAGCATCGAGAGCTAACTTTGCGAGACCAAAGTCAGATACCTACAGAGCGAGAAAATCGAAAGATGTTAAAACAAGATCCAACATCATGTCTTGGAGCTAAACCATAATAACGAACAAACCCGAGCATCAAAGTTGTTGTCTAAAAGGATGTTGGATGACTTAATGTCTCTGTGAATGATTCGTGGATGGCCTGAAAATGGAACAAAACCATTAGAGGCAACAAGAACACATCATTTCCACCATTTATATTTTTGCAGAAAGAATTTAATGCAGAATCAGTCCATCTTTTATCCAAGAAGGGTTAACTTGTGGAGTTAGAAGAGATTCATAGATTTTGGGGAAGAGCTTATCATCAAAGGCAAGACAGTATAGTTCACAATGTTACAGAAAGCAATAACTTACAATCTTCATGAAGATAAGCTATGCCACGAGCTGCACCAGCAGCGATTTTGACACGAGTTGCCCAGTCCAATACCGGCCCTCCTGACTCTAAAGACGATATGAAACATATACAAACTGTATTATGTATCAGCGGCTCGTGATTCTGAATGTATATGCCTTGAACGATATAGAAACGCTTACCATGAAGATGGAAGTAAAGATTGTTGTTAGGGACATAATCATAAATTAGCAATCCCCTGTTTTCAGAAATACAGTATCCGACCAATGAAACCAAATGCCGGTGGTGTATTCTACTAATAGTTTCGACCTCGGCTTTGAATTCTCGATCTCCTTGTACTCCGCCATTTTTCAGTTGCTTCACTGCAACCACTCTCCCATCTGGTAAGATCCCTCTATACACATAACCAAATCCACCTTCACCTAAAAGGTTATCAGACGAAAATCCAGCAGTTGCCTTGATAAGCTCTTCATACGAGAACAAAGCCTTTGAATGGCCTAAGCCACCGGGTTCTGATTGTGAATAACCCGAAGTATTTCGAGAATGACTTCCTACAAGTGGTGCTGAAGATTGCATCTTGAAAAGCGCAGAATCTGGACACAAGACATGGAAGGATTACGTTCCAAAAGTTAAAATCCAACTTAAGAATTCTGACAAAATACCTGATCTTGGGGAGGAGCCCATTGGCGATGGCATGACATAGCCACCACCAATCGTGGAAAGCTGCCTTTTTCGTCTCCTCAAACACCAAACGAGGAGTCCAATAAGACTGAACAGCACAAGCCCCGCAGCAACACTGATACCCACGACAGCTCCTGTGTCGATGCCACTACTACTGGAAGGAACAGAACTGTCTGTGTCTGGAGCAATAGGACTAGGGTTGTTTTGAGGTGGATTATTTGAACCAGGTGTAGGGATTTGAGGAGGAGATGGTGGGCCTATAAGTGGTGGAGGAGGGGACAGTATCGGTGTTACAGGAGAATTTGGAGGTGGTGGAGCCAATGGAGAAGCTGGCTGGCCTGGACTTCTCCTGGGAGGAGGAGGTGCATCATTTGGGGGTATTGCCACTGGTGGAGGGGGAGGAGGGGGAGAACGAGCAGGACGGTCAGGGACAGGTGGAGGAGGGGGAGAACGAGCAGGACGGTCAGGGCCAGGTGGAGAAGGGGAATGTCGTGGAGGAGGAACCGCTGCAGGAGGTGGAGGTGAGTCTATTGGTACAGATGGAGGTGGAGGTGGATATGTAGGAACTGGCGCAGGAGGTGGTGGTGAGCTAGGTGGTGGCTGGGGAGGCGGCTCGGGTGGTGGTGGGGTTACCGGTTGATCAGGTGGCAGTGGAAGGGAAGGGCTCTCAGGTGGGTCTGATGGAGGAGGAGGAGGAGGAGACTGAGGAGGTGGCCCCATTGGTTCAGGTGGTGGGGATTGTGTTGGGGGAGGAGGTGTCAATGGTGGTTCAGGTGGCGGTGATGACGGTGTGGCTGGGGGGGGGGGGGG